AAATATTATATAGAAAAGTCTCAATTTGATGAAAATGTTAAAAAGATTTTTCAAAACCAAAAATATTTATGTATATGTAAACACTTTGAAGCGCACTGTACATAAATTTATAAATTTCACCACTACGAACACACTTGCATACACAAAAAACACATACTCATAGCACATAGTYTAATGAAGAAATAAGAAAGGGAACTTATAAAAAAATAACAGAGAAAACTGAAATATCAATAAGCAAATGTATAAGAAACCTCGCTGCCTCTCAGTAAGTAATTTAAATAGTTAAAAAAGCAATGTAAATAGAAAGTRAAAACAACAAAAAAAWGCAATAAAAAATGAACGAATCGAAAAATCGAAATGCGAATGAAAACAGTACTGAAAAAAAAAACAAAACAGGAAAAAAAATTCGATGAAAAATGCTCAAATATGCGCCTTCAAAGAAACTAGGATTAAGTTAAATGAACATTTTTATGAAAACAGAAAACAAATATATTTAGACGAAAGAGCGAAGAGTGTAAAAGCTCAATTGAAACACATCTCAGCCTGAATTGAATACTGCGCACTGAGAATGAAATGCTAAGCAACTTAACTCAGCTATGATTAATTTATTGCTACTTGAATATTTATTTAAAAAATAATAATTTCTAATTTACAGTTATTTAGTTTTTGCTTTTAAGATTTGTTTGCTGTGCGACTAACAATGCCAATTTAGGTTTTTATTATATTTTTATTATTAAAAGTAAAAGCTATTAACAATTCACACATACACACACACACGCACACACACCTCTATACTTACATACACCTACACACATTTAAGATAACTAGCTGTTAATTAATTTACAAGTAATTTATAATGAAATCCTTCAGTGTAAGAGTTTAATTTAAAATAATTTTTATTTTAATTTATTTAATTTCAAATGTTTAGTTTGTAAATTTGTAAAGATTGTGCGAAAGCAATGCATACGAAATTACATGTAAACAGTCAGTGGCTAGAGTCGTCAGAGCTGAGGATATAAAGCGAATGCAAGCAACAGCAAACGCCCATAATAATAGAAGCGCCACGACAACACACTTGCAAACAAACACGAATGAAAAACAAAAAACGTTTTATTTAATGAAAATTTGTAAAAAGCGTTATTCTTAAGTTATGCTCTTTTTAATTTTAATTATGAATGAACACTACTTAATAATTAATAGTTAACAATAAAAAATTAATAATATTTAATTTATATAAATAAGAATGATAATGATGATGCTGATAATGGTAATACTGAAAATCAAACTGAAAATAGAACAACAAAAAATTAAACAAAAATAAATGGAATACATACAAATAAAGCAATTTCGTTMAAGATTTATTTAATTTCGCTGTGAAATGTGAGGAGTTTTGCATGTCGCATAATTTACAGTTAATTACTTATATGTTTTATTTCATAAATAGTTTCCTTACAATTGCATGCGTGTTAAGTTGTTATGTAGCAAATGAAATTGTATATAAAAACGGGAAAGAAAAACAATAATTGGCTATAAAAATAATGAAAGAATTAGAAAAATCAATTTTTTAATACAAAAAATTAAAAACACAAGTTCAACTTAAGTTGACTTAAGCTCTTTTTTGCGAAAAATAACATAAAGCGATTGTAATAAGGTTTA